CATGAATGCATTAAAATATTTATAAAATATTAGAATCAATCTGTTTGCAAGTGTGGTTTAAAAAGACTCTATTAAAATCTATGACTAATTTGGTTCCTGTCCTTTATACTGCCTCTCTTTAAAGGAAGTTGAAGTTCATCATCATTGGCTTCTTTGAACTTATTAAGCTATTCAAATACTTGACATAATGTCATCACCACAGCCCACTCTGAGCATCTTGCTTGATTTTGCACAAGTTTTCCCAAGTTTCAGAAAAATATAAAATTAACTCTTTGCTCTAAATTTTGCCAATGTCTTCTATGACAAACTCACAAGTATGACATAAGAAAACTGGCTATTGAACAGATCAACTGGAAGTATGATTAATTAACCAAGGGTAATTAGCTGAGTTTTCATAGTATGTATTTGGCTTACTCTTGTTAAAATGAGTCTTACATATAATGGGTAAGGCAGATGTCCTTCACAGCTTCTGAGTCTTACCTAATTTGTGTTCTGCCTGCAATGTTTTGTTATTTCTAGAGTTGCTATCAGCTGTCTACCGCAAACAAACTTTTACCTCGGTAAGAAAATTTGGCTCTGTACTTAACTAAGCACAATGCTAAGATGTATGGGGGGTGGAGTATAACTCCATGCATTCTTAAACGTGGCACAAGATGGAGACTACTAGCTATTCAGACTGAGTTTTTTATTGTTTTCCTCAGTCTATCCAGGCAGGTGTCATGATAGTTCCTCAGATAGACCATTCATGATATTTAGTCTGAGATATTCACGCTCACAGAATGAACTACTAGCCAATCCTTGTTATGTTTTACAACCTATATTCCTACAATATTTAACTTGTACTTCAACACAGCATGCATCGCATATACTTGAGACAAAATGAAACTTAACTGTTCCAGCAATGTACATCACACAAAATCAGCAAATTACTAGGGAATTTAATAGTGATGCTGACCACATCACTGCTAAGAAGAGTTGTCACATGCTACGACCAGTAAAAGATGACATAGGACTGAAAGTCATGTTGGGGGGGTTAACCGTGCTGCTCGCTCGCTAGTTCATGATCTAGTATATATTTTATGTTCGTGTTGGTACTAGCACTTGGTCAAGCTTATAACCATTCAATTGACTAAGCTGCTGTTTAAGCATAAGATGGGTAAGATAGATATGATCTGCTTTGCATAGCCTGGACTGACAAAGCATTTGTATATAGTGCACAAGGAAGAATTTTCAGTAACATTCTATATGTGCAACACAAACACTTGACAAAGGCAAAGCCTATATATAAGAGACAAACCCAACCTCTTGTCAGAGAGAATGTTACATAAGGACTATGACCACAAGGGTTCAGTTGCACCAAGGGGGAGGGGGAACACTCTGGTTGTGATCATCAAGGGTCTAGGCACCAAGATGAGCTGACTGGCAGTAAACCGCCAGCCGTAAAGTAGCCCTGATATCACTCGACAGTTCATTTCCTTGGTAGCCCAAAATTGCAAAATGACAATGTTAAATCTCACGCTGTCTCGCTTGCCTCAAGGGGTGCTGCCTTGGCTGATAGGTTGGTTCAACAATATCAGCAGCTTGAAGAGAGATATCAGATTTCCTAATGATCATGAACTGCGTGTAAGCTGTGTCCCTAAATACTCTTAACTGTTCATAAGAATCCTCCTGTTCCAGTTGTATAATATTAGGTTGCGATCTGTTGTAAATACTGACTGATGTGATGAAGTGTTGTTGGGGTCATGTTTCTCGCGTTTAGACCACTGCCCTTGCTAATAGCTGGCTGTAGTCACTCTCACAAAGTACATTCACTGCTAGAAGGGCAACTGTCCAAGGAAATGATTTGATCATCAGATTAACGCCTGTGACTTAGTGTATCACAAAAATGTATTGCACTGAATGAGGCATTTACTGAAACTGAAGTGGACACAGCAGTTTCTTGTCTAAGCTAATGATGAAAATCTATTGGAAGATAACATGAACACCATACAAAACAAGATGTTCCATAAAGAACCAATTGTCTTCTTTCTTTTCACTGCAATTGGAGCATTTGATTCAAGTAGAAGAAACTTCAGTCTGTATGTGTAATGAAGTCGGTAACAAATTTTGAGAGTCTGCAGTGTTAGTATTACTGATGGGCGAGATTTATGGCATTGAGATGACCTCAGATGGCATGATATACATGCAACGTCTTATGATGCTCGGTTTAAGAATTCAATTATTATTAAAGTTATTGTCTCATAACGAGGTGATCTCACAAAGTTCATTTTTTTTTAAAATAAAGAAAATAAGCAAAAAATGTTCACAAGCTTGAGATTTATCACTGCCAATACGAAATGTTAGGTTACATTAGCAACAAATTGTTGAGCGTTAACACGTTGAATGAATCTAAATTGTGCATTATGTAACGGAGTAGTGAGAAGTGTTCTGTTTCATTGCATCACGTCTCTTCTGTGAGTAATGATAGTATTTTGGCGTAGATATGTGAATATTAGTATATTATACAAGGAGACAATTTATGTTTGACTGTTTGTAAGTGACATTCGTGGGATGGAGGCGTTGAACGTTGGCCTGGGCGCATCATTCCATAGCATGTAGAATTGGAAAGGAATATGGTAGAAAGCAAATACGTGGTGCTATCCGAAAGTTCCCGAGATATATCAATAAAAACAATTACGTCTTACCTGGATCATATTCTGCACTATCACTTTCAAAGTAGTCCCCTTGGGAGAGCATACACCGATCCCAGCGTTTCTGCCACTTTTGAAATGCATCCTGGAAGTCTTTCTTTGTTAGGGTGTTTAGTACCGTCTGCGTTTCCGCTTGAATTTCCTCAGCTATATCAAATCTTCGCCCCTTCAACTTGATTTTCATCTTGGGGAAGAGAAAGAAGTCGCATGGAGCCAAGTCTGGCGAGTACGGTGTGTGGGGAACAACTGCCATCTTGTTTTTAGTCAAAAATTCCTGCGCAAAGTAAGCCGTATGCTGTCGTGCTTTGTCATGGCGGAGTACCCAGTCGTTCGTGCACCACTTCTCTGGACGTTTTCTCCTCATGTCCTCCCCCAAACGCCTTAGAACATCGCGATAGAACTCTTTATTGACTGTCTGACCCGGAGGGGCGAACTCCTTGTGAACAATCCCGTCAGTATCGAAAAGACAGATGAACATGGACTTAATGTTGCTCTAGACTTGTCGAGCTTTATTTGACCAAGGTGAAGAAGGGCTCTTCCATTGCAGTGATTGCTACTTACTTTCAGGGTCTTAGCCATAAACCCAACTTTCGTCACCATTGACAACCTTCGAAAGAAAGTTTGGATCCTCTTGAAGCTGTTGTTGAAGTTCCCTGCAGACTTCCAAGTGATGCTGCTTCTGTTCATTTTGCAGCAATCGTGGCACAAACTTTGCCGCAATCCTCATGTTCAGTTCCTCTGACAAAATTCTTTGACATGTACCATAACTTGGTCGCAAGGTGTTACAGAGGTCTTGGATGGTTAGTCTACGATCTTGCAGAATCAGATCCCTAACTTTCGCGACATTTTCTGTTGTGGTGCCAGTTGACGGCCGTCCGAACAATCGTCATCATCAGTCGATGTTCGGTCATTTTTGAAACGCTTATACCAGTCGTAAGTTTGTGTCTGGCCTAAACTGTTGTCACCAAAAGCTTGCTTCAACATTTGGTGCGTTTTTGCAGCGGTTTTTCCAAGTTTAAAACAAAACTTTATACAAACACGCTGCTCTCTCAGGTCAGCCATTGCAAAACCGCAAAATCACGAACACAACAATGGAAACACGTTGACCAACAATAAACCCAATCACTCAACTCGACGCCGCTTGCCACACTGATTCAAGAAGGGTGTGTGGGGAGACACCTAGCGGTATTTCGATGTACTCATAACCATTTGCGCGCAAAATTCAAATTTCGGGAACTTTTTGATAGCACCACGTACTAGTATGAAGTCTTATATGACAAAAGACTAAACTTACCACTGAAATTTCAGTGGGGACTATACTAGTGTATTATGATATTCTAATGGCTATTTATGGTGCAGTTGACCAGTATTTATCATTTGGAACTCTGGCACATCGTAACGGTCATTTTCGGAATGTTGAATTTTGATAATAGTCACGTGTAAGGTGGTACGCGTGACAAAATGACGGATTCCAGTCCTAACTCGATCTCTTCTCTTGATTCCGCTGCTACATTTCTCTCTCATAGCTTATAACTAACTCAGGACTATGTCACACCCTTATATAGCCGAGGGACAGACAGCACATCATCGTAAACACGTCACGTGATCGCTACCCACTACTGTTATGTGATGTCACCGCACTCACAGGAAACATGTCACGTGACGGCCACATACTGTTGTGTGACATTACAGCTCGCGTGTTGCATAGCAACGGTCCATCTACGGGCGCAGAAAACACTGTTTCTATACTCTTGGCCACATATGTGTTACAGGCGTTGTCTAGCAACGGGGCCATGTTACTCCGTGTTTGCACGAAGGAATTTGCAAAGTTTCGTTTTCTAATAAACAGTTTATGATCAATGGATTATATTTGTGTGCCGTTGATCTGGAGCATTGGATTGGCTTAAAGGGTGCAGATGCCAGTTGCCTTAGTTATTGCTGTGACACAAACCTGAGAAGCCGGCATAAGTACAGAGAAAGGAATGAGGACTATTACAATGCTTGCTATTATTAAGTTCAGTACGTTCTGTCTCCTTGTCTGCTTTCTGACAATGTAAGAATTAGAACATGCAAAACCATAATTTAACATGTAGTTTTTGTATGGGTTTGATACTTGGTCTCTGACATTAAGGGAAGAACGTATACTGAGGTTATTCGATAATAGTGTCTGTTGTTATCTTGTGAGCTTTGTTTAATAAACATTTCTATTATGTATTTGTTGGCTAGACTTTGATATGTGCATTACGCACTGACTTCTGGGTGGCTACTCCATTTGACATCCAGTTGGAGACGTGTGAAATTGACATAATATGAAAACTGTACCATATATTTATTATAGAAATAATTACCGAAGTCATGTAATTACAGAATGGAAGTTATTCTTTGCAACAGAAGATTTCATATTGATTATCTGACATACGGTATTCACATTTGTATAAGAGAACGCTTCAAAACCAATCGGTCATTTCACTGTTCTTGATTTTCGTTAAGCGGCAGGGAGTCCCAGAAGTCCATACGATTTTTGAATTTATCAGGAACCACTCTGATACGTAATGGCCTGACGTTATAAACAGGTTCAGCTGGGGGTGTAGCATGGTCAAATACGTAGTACGTCACGTTATTCCTGATGGCGCCAGCTGTTGGCCATGCAACTCCTTGAGGCGCAGCATCTGCTTCCGGTGTCGGGTTCCTGGTGGAGGAGAATTACATGAGTAATGATGACATTTATAACAATAGTAATGTTGTTTCTTTTCTTTTTGCTGTGTATGGCCTAATTTTCGCCGAATATTATTGGGGTAATCGATATTGTAAGTTTGGTGCAATCTAATGAAAGTGCAGAGATTATTAAATAATTACTATAGCTGGGTCAACATGTAGGCCTATCAGTTAAAATTAAACAGCAGGAAATGTTTAAGGTTAACGTCACAGCATGTCAGTATTGTTCTCCTAAATAACCGACCATGATTTCAGTCTTGCGGACGTCTTACCCATGTGTAGCAAAATTTGTCCACAATGTGACAACGGCTTCAACCATCTCGAGATCAGGGTGACCAGGCTCCCATCTGTCAGCCTTATAAGCGGTGGTCATAATAAATTCCAACTCATCTGCATGGAGGACTCCTGAAATATAGCAAAGTTTCTTCTATCGAATCAGGATCACTTATGGGTACTGCACCAAGAAACGAGGTGTACTTTGGCGAAAGCCACGACTCTGTAGCCTATATGTTTGTAACGTTCTTTTTACAACTTACCACATTAAAGTTTTTATATTTCACTTGTAATCTGCAGAATTTCAATTCATATCTGTGATTAAAGTGTTAAAATTCCATAGGTCTCATAAGAATAATGTACACAACATCACACAATGCAACAAAATACTGATTTATAAAATCTGTGAGAAATATGCAGCAAAAAATTTATGTGGTATTATGGAGTAAAGGAGGTGATGAAATACAAGTTCTCTGGCAAAGTGTCCGCACGATTTTACTGTTGTTGTTATTATTGAAATAAACACATTCAAAATTTTTGCTGGGTAGGGAATTAAAATTGTTTTTGTACATCTAATGTATTTTGCATACTGATTGATGAGAAATAAAAATCATCTATCACATATCGAAGACTTCCTGTGAGAAGGCGGAAGTGTCCTGAAAAATATTCCTTTTTAACAAAATTTGATGTCATGTCTCCATAAGTACAGATTTTGTCCACATTAAATTTGTCGGACATAACCTGAAAGTTATTTATCACCATCATGTTTGTAATTGTCGAATTAGAAACAGTGCTGAATGCAGAATTTGTAGGTATGTTTATTCTATATCTCAGTGCCAACTTTCAAATGTCGAAAGCTGATGGCTCATTTATTACTGCCATCAAACCGAAAGGTAAATGCAGTAGGCCAGTATATATTTCTTGCAGTCCCCGATGTTTTACATTTTTCAAACATCTGCTGCTGCGTATCATTTCCGATCTGCATATTAAATGGCACTAATTTTTCAGCAGGCACAAAGAGTTTGTCCGTCTACAACGTTATCATCACAGATAGTATGGAATTAAAAGGTACGAGGGTTTTGTGGGCTCTAAGGGGATAACGTTCGTATCAAATATAAGGAATAACGATAAATGATACAAACTCCGTCCTAAGTGCAAACAATATATATTATATGTCTTTGATCTTGTTCTTTCTACACTACATGTTTCGGCCTCTATCGGCCATCATCAGGTGTATACTCTTAACGTTGCTGCCACACTGAACCCAGTCTAAAATTTAACATTTAAAAACACAATGTCACATTCTTCGTATTATCAACATCTACATCGTTGATATGTGTCTGGTATGTAGATTATGTTGCACACGTCAAATTTGATATTCTTGTAGTAGCACTCTAAAAATCTTTAGTTATGATGTTTTTAAAACCTTTTAAAATTTTCTCTAAATTTTAAATTTAAAATTTAGAGAAAATTTTAAAAGGTTTTAAAAACATCATAACTAAAGATTTTTAGAGTGCTACTACAAGAATATCAAATTTGACGTGTGCAACATAATCTACATACCAGACACATATCAACGATGTAGATGTTGATAATACGAAGAATGTGACATTGTGTTTTTAAATGTTAAATTTTAGACTGGGTTCAGTGTGGCAGCAACGTTAAGAGTATACACCTGATGATGGCCGATAGAGGCCGAAACATGTAGTGTAGAAAGAACAAGATCAAAGACATATAATATATATTGTTTGCACTTAGGACGGAGTTTGTATCATTTATCGTGTAGAGTGCAACAGGATGCTTAAATATAATATTATAAGGAATAACAGTTATGTGAGTCAAAAATTGAAAGATTCTAGATGTTAGGTATATCAGAAAACCCTTTGAAATAAATTCAATATCATGGCGCCCTGTTCAATCTGTGTACTCTTTTGTACAATTACTCAAAATTCCGTGGGCAACCCTGAGGGTTTCTGTGCATTGATAAGTGCCTGTACTCTTACACATAATCACATAAATGAAAAATTCATATGAGAACTTGATCAGGACCTTAAAGAACTATCGTTAACTCAGAGAACCATGTATGTTGCATTACCCACCAAGGTCATACCGGGTGTCCCCATATCGTGCCTTTGTTATCACGCTGTGCTTCCCACGGTAGCCCAGGTTGTACAGGTATATGGTTTCGTGGCCTGACTTGAGGTGCAGTTCCACAGACTTATGTATATTGTGCTGCATAAACCGGTCTGTTGCTGCCTGTTGTCACCACAGAAACAACATAACACTCTGTCAGTATTAAAAGTTAAATATCATTATTTTTTCAAATGACTTTTGACTGAACTAATTACATGGAGCTGAGCTCTCTTCGAGAAGCTGTCAGTTGCGCAACCACTTAAGAATTTCCCAATATTTTATGGAACCTGTTGTTTCATTATTGTTTTCACAAGAGAACTCCAGTTTGTCCCTGTCCTGAACATGATCAGTGCAGTCCACACCACTCCATACTATCTTTCTAAGATCCATCTTTATAGTTTGACATGTCAAACCGTTGTTGGGCAACGGGTTGTTGAACGAGTTACCACGAAAACAGACTCTTGATAAACGGTGGGCTGTCAAGTTGCACAACAGTGGAACGAGGTTACGCAAGAGTAAGGAAAGCGGTGTTTCTCCGTGCCGTGCCTAGCCGAGCCAAAGCGCGCTGGTTGCTACATAGCGTTGCAGTAAACGTCTCTCGGCAGCGTTGCCCAGCAATGCCTCTGTAAACATGACGATTACGCAACAATGAAGTGAGGCGCGTTTTCCGCTGTCCGACTGAGGGTTCACGCCGCACGATCTGTGCTATGATAACCATGAACAGCGGGTAGAGGCTAGAGTTCAAGCTCTGCTCGAAACCGTAGACGACAACCCCCCCTCAAAGGATCAGACCATGTGACGTACAAAAATCAATAAAATCCCTGCAATTAAAAAAAGGCCTGTGGAATTGAAGGCATCCCAAATGAATGCCTCAGGCACCTTTAAAGGCGACCATTGGTTCACCTAACTCATTTATTTAATCATTTTCTTCAGCTCACTTTCCAAATACTTGGAAAGAAGCAAAAGTAATAACTTTACCTAAACCCGGTAAAGACCCGAAATTCCCGCAAAAATTTCGTCCGATCAGCCTCCTGTCCATGACAGGAAAACTATTCGAAAAAGTGATTTTGAAATTTCTTCAAAAACATATTGAAGAAAGAAGCCTGCTTCAATGCAAGCCAGTTTGGTTTTCGTGCACGTCACAGCACGACATTGCAATGTATGAGGCCGGCGAACCACGTGACCCTTAATTTCAACAATAAAATGTCTATGGCTGCGGTGTTCTTGTACATCGAACAAGCCTTTGATACCACGTGGCACTCAGGCTTGCTGTATAAGTTATCAAAATTGCAATTCTCGAAGACTTTGACCAAGCTTATTGGGTCTTTTCTTTCTCAACGTAAATTCAGGGTTTCCGTTGAAGGCGAAATGTCAACGCCAAGGGAAATCCAAGCAGGGGTGTCACAAGGTTCTATCCTTTCCCCTACTCTTTTCAATTTGTACATAAATGATGCCCCCCAAACATATGATGTTCACCTGGCTCTCTTTGCGGACGACACCTGTCTGTGACAGATCGCAAGGAGGATTTTATTGTTAGAAAACTCCAGCGTTGTCTCAGCTCAAAGGAGACCTGGTATGAGCGTTGGAATATTAAAATTAATGATGATAAGACTCAGGGGGTCTACTTCTCTCGTGGTCGTCGACCCCCTGAGTCTTTTCTCACTCTAAATTAACGAAATATCTAGGTGTAATCCTCGATAAGAGAGTTACATGGAGATTGCACATAGAAATGATCGAAGCCAAGGCCTTCAGAGCATTCATTAGAGTATATTCCCTATTCAAAAGTGAGCGATTGAGCGCTAACAATAAACTGACCGACCCTCCACAAAGCTTTTATTAGATCCGTAATGACTTATGCTAGTCCCACCTGGGAGTTTGCGGCAGACATACCAGTTTCTCTTATAAACCCTCAGTCGCACGGCGGAAAACGCCCCTCACTTCATTGTTGCGTTATCGCCGTGTTTACAGAGGCGTTACTGGGTAACGCTGCTGAGAGATGTTTACTGCAACTCTGCGTAGCAACCAGCGCGCTTTGGTTCGGCTAGACACAGCACGGAGAAACATCGCTTTCCTTACTGTTGCGTAACCTCGTTCCATTGTTGCGCGACTTGGCAACCGACCGTATATCAAGAGTCTGTCTGCGTGGTAACTCGTTCCTCATCCCGTTACCCAACAACGGTTTGACATGTCACAATATTATCCTCCCACCAACATCAAGGTCTTCCTAGTGGTCTCTTCCCTTCTGGCTTTCCCACCAATATCCTATATGCATTTTTCTTCTCTCTTATGCTTGCTATTTGCCCTGCACATATAATCTTCCATGACATGATAATATTAATTATACTTGGTGAAGTGTGCACGGTATGAAGCTCCTCATTATTTAGTTTTCTTTAGCCTCCTGTCACATAATGACTGGTGGTTTAGAAGACCAGATTGCAAGAAATATTGGATTTGTACCGAAAGGTTTATTAAGTTCGGTTTATTTGTTACACATAAAAATATTCATTTTATGTTAAAATGTGTATTTTATTTATAAATAAGACATCTCTTATTTATCAGAGTCTGTTGAATAGAACTGATATGTTCTTAGTTTATTTCTTGAACCTGTCTTTCCCATTGGTCTATGGCAGATAGGATGTTATATTACGATTCCAGAAGCTATTTTTTAAATTTATGGTTATAAGAGGAACTCTTGAGTAGCATGAAACTCCAGATTGTAGCGTGGGTTTAAGCATCCATGCCTTAGAGTTTGAATTTTCCAAGGAGTCGCGAATTCAATCCTGACTGCTTGACACTCACGTCAATAATGCTGTGCACAGTGGCTGTGGTGATGACGCGGTTGCTGCCCAAGTAGAAGTCAATCACCCTTTGGAACGTGTCGGAGATGCGATTTTCTGGCACACTCTCATTCAAGAAGAAAACAACTCGAGCCACGTCGTCCAGGTGATCATTCAGGTAATCTAGAGCTGCCTGGGTGCAGACAAGTGCTGAGGAACAACAACACGATAGCACGATAAAAGCACGTACAACTCAAGAAACACTGAGAACAAAGACGGGTAGGTAAGGCATTTAAGTGGATTACTGATTCTGGACAGCTCTTCATTGATATCATGATACAGATTGGCTATTACTCTGTATCATCCCGTGTTAAGTTAAATGATTATTAAATAATATATATATAATTCAGATACACAGATCTTCGTAAGCTTTACATTTGACATCATATCCTTAATTTCTATATTATGAACAGTTTTTCAGATTGTAGACAACAGTACTGCAATTGTACCGAATTCAATGACTGAAGAGATTATTCACCGTTATGATGTTAATATTGGACAAGGACAAATTATCGGAGAAGAAATTTGTTCGGAAAGTAAAAGGGGATTGAATTTTACTATCTACAAATGATAATGTTTAAATGGACCATGGGGAAAGGAGCCTGAAAATGTGAACTCGATCAACTTTTCACATCTTATATGTTTGTAGCTTCAATCTTTGAGTTTTAGCACTCAGATATTTGTATGCATACTGTAGTGTGTAGACATGTTACTAGGTAGCAACCGCAAAATAAAGAGTTTCTACGCACAACAATACTCGTAGAGGAACTGTTGGAAATAGTATGAAATAGTATGGTGTCTTCTACGCGACCCGTGGCGAGATATTATAAGAGGGACAATTGGAGCAGGAGTTCCCGAAACCCATGTAGGGAGAGATGAATACTCGTACTTCCACCATAGCTGCGAGTTGTAGGAGGTGACGGAAAGGAAACGCAGAGCCTGGGGGTTATAAATACGGGGACCTGGCCCTCGGGGTTGGAGGAATCTCGAATCTGTCACAGTAAAGTTTGTTTTTTGAATCCCGCGGCACCTGGAACTAAGAATGACTGCGCTGTCGAGGTCCAGCGGCAACTTTAAACGACAGACCCACCCTCTCGTCGGAAAGGATGTTACATAAGAACTACAACCTCAAATGTTCATTTGGAAAATAAACATTCTGGTCGGGGGTCTCAAGGGGCTTGTCGCCAAGATGAACTGATTGGCGATAAACTGCCAGTCGTAAAGTAACTCTGATCCTAACTCTGACTGTGAAGATTTCAATTGTGGGATACACGTATTCGCCGGACAGTAATGACGTGAGCACAGAAGCTGAAGAATATCCAGTGTTAGGATCCATTATCGGAAAACGACTCGTGAAAGCAGACTGAGAAGGATTAGCGCACGCTTTAGTGATTTGTATAGTGTGGAGATTAGCGATAGCGTTATAATTACTTGTAGTTACGATCTGTGATTGTTGAATAAATCAAATCACTAATCCAAACCCCGTCTATAGTCACTCATGTTACGTGACAATTCGATGTTTCCCCCAGTGCTCCTGATATTTCATATTGAACTTACGTAACAGGAAGAATGATCCCTCATCTGAATTGGTGCCCAGTACGAACGGCACGCGGTTGAAGTCCCCGGATCTGATGATTTCTTGAGGATGTGCCGTCAGGAACGGCTCCGGGTTCGCGGCAGTCTTTACCTCGGGCACCGGCCGCCAGAAGATGTCGTACTATGCAACGGGCGAACAGACACAGATAATTCATGACTAAGTAAAATGCGTAAACATGTTTACAATTTCATGAAAAGTTGTACGAGCCATATCTGATATCTCTAAAAATTGTCTCACCTTTGTATTTTTTTAATATCGGCAACAGCCGGGATAGCGCAGTTGGTATAGCGACGGCCTACGGGCTGGATGACCGAGCTGTCGGAGTTTGAGTCCCGGTATGATCAAGAATTTTCTCTTCTCCACTTCGTCCAGACCGGCTCTGGGGCCATCCCTATGCAAGGGGTACCGGGGCACTTTCCCCGGGGGTAAAGTGGCAGAGGCATGAAGCTGACCATTCACTTCCAGCTAGTGTTGAGGTCAAGAAAATGTGGATCTATACATCCACGCCCTCATACGCCTTCATGGCGCAGAGCTTAATTAGTTAAGCACAGGGATAATTTTACCTTTTACCCATAATATCAGCTATGCGAACTTCTGAGGCGGGAGTGACACTAGCGTTACTTAATATACCGTTCTGAAATTTGATGCGGTAATAGAGCTTTGAAAACTATAAATACTGTATTTATGGAACTAATTGTTTTGCAGAAATGTAAAAGAGTAATACGGTACCCACGCAAATTCCAGATTTATCTATCATTTTGATTTCTACAGAACAGCTTCCTTCGAGTCTTAATCGTGTGAAATTGTTATGTACACTTTTTATAACGCCGTCAGAATCTCGACTATATAGAGTGGAATGGCAGGGACATTGGTGAAAGAAGAATAGGAAAGGATTTTGAAGGAAATGGCCGTAGCCTAATCGGGACACAATTTCCACATTTGTCTGGATGGCCTGAGGAAAACAACGAAAGTTCTCAGAATTACCTGTAACCTGGAGGAATTTCAGAATGAGGATCCCCCGAATACTTTTTTTTTTTCTGTGGAAATAAACTCTAAACTTAACTATGAATTCTGTATAGCATAGCCTTTTATGTTAACGACTACAAACAAGGCAACAGTGTGAATCAATGGAGCCATGTCGGATAGATTTTTGCATACTGGGAATGCAGACAGAAATATCTGTATAAAGTGCATAACTATTAGTTTATAATCTCGTCAGCCTCATCACACAGGTGGAAGAATTTGAAGGAATAACCCCCATAAATTATTCCCTCGTTTTTTTTTTGTGAGTGTATTGATAAGGTATTACCGAAAGCGAGATTGCACGAAACTTTGCCGTTATGTTTGAAAATTTCCAGGCAATGGAAAAGTATAGACGTACTAGTGAAAACATTTCCCAAATATCATTTTGTTGTATGTATAATGAAATTATTCAACACGCCTTCCTATCTAGTTCCTACAGGAAATACATTTAAGTTTTTCTAGGCTACCTTCTGCCGAAATATGCCTAGTTTATCTTTCTGTACAAGATTCCTTTCATTCATTGATAGCTCGTTTGGTAGCCTTCTATCCAATGGGTTTCCCTGTGGTAAAGGGGCCGGGGCTTGAAGCTGACCACTCACCACCAACTAATGCCGAGGTCAAGAGAACGTGGATCTATGCATCCACTCCCCCATACGCCTTCATGGTATAGTGCGTAATTATTTGAGCATAGGGACAATTTTACCTTTACTTTGGTAGTTGTGTACAGTCTTCAGTCTGTCTGAGGTCTGTCTGTCCGATCTTGCAGTAAGGGCAGTATTATCATAAACACAACAATCTAATTTTGTGAAAACCCACATGAGTATCATGCCACAGGATGCAGCTTTATCCTTGTACCCTTGAATTCCTAATTTTGAATACCAACATATCTTCCCGGAGTACTATGTATGGTCGCAGATGGTTACAACATATTTACTTCACTTGCTATGTTTCTATTATTCTTCTATCTGCACTGCTCATCATCCAGTTCTCAGATTCATACTCAAGAACAAATAGGCCCTACTGCCATCACATTATAAGTACTGTGCCTTTCATAGCTTTGTTTTTTACCCTGAATTGTACTTGCATTTACATCCCTTATATTCATATTACAGTACAACCTATGTTACATTTATCTCACAACCTAACTAGCAACGTTTCGAACCTATTAAACACTTTTATCGTTTATTATCTTTGATGCAATCTTGCTGTTGAATCACCCATTGAAAGTTAAAAGTATCTGTTGTAGCATCGGCACATTCTTTGTTCCCTGCGACTTCTGTACGCCATTTTGGGGAGCCAGAATCTTAACCAGGTCGAATCGACGAGGATTCTTTAGTGCCTGGCTTGGCGATGTCTTCATTCGGCACTTCATCAAGAGTATTTCATCAATTGACTTTGTCGACTTGTCAGCGGGTATTTTCCTGTCAAGGGAGCTAAGACCATTATTCCTGACGCATTTTCGCTTGTTCTTGATTCGCAGTGGAGATCTTAGTCACACCCAGCAAAGAGCAGTTGGACATACAGCCAATGTAAATCCAGTAATTGAGAGGCCAGTCACTGGCATTATACACATTGTGGCTTGTAGACTCGTTGCTAGGCAACTATACTTTGTTAAGTAATGGCTTCGGAAAAAGGCATGATTCCAAGGCAAGGAGAGAATACAACAATAATGAAAGCGATATTTCCATACGGTCCGTGCCAAGATGTTAAAACCAGGACCAGTTAGTAGATGCAGTTAGTTGGAGAAGAGCTAAGGTTCAGTCGATGTGATCTGCTGCAGTTAGAAGCGGGTAGCTGAGGCCGGGGACAACTCGAGAACGCACAGGAAAGGGAAAATCCGTCGTTGAAAGCCGATACCAAGCAACGGAAATGAAAGCGTGATTATGGACACTACTGCGTACATAATAGTGTAGTCACGCGCTGTATCAAAGTGTCATTCCCAAACACGTCTATAGTCACTCCATACGCGTGATAATATCATACGTATTCAACTTACTATCATAACATGCAGTCTGAAGTTACTGATATATTGAAAGATCCAGAGAGTTTGTTGTGAAATGGGCCTCTCATTCAGGCAAAAACTGTTCACATTGATTCATTCATGCACAATTTCAACTTGAATTGCTCATAAGAGGAAATTAACTAATTTACGCAAGTTATAAAGAATTCATTCACGCTTGTGTTATTCGGATATCAGTGTCCCAGAAGGATTTACCTCATATCTTGTATAAACTGCATCTTGTATATGTTGAAGTGCTACACAACAAACGTTTCACTGTGTGAGAATGTGTCGCTTATCTTGATGTAATACGAGGGGGTACCCAAAAGAAGCCGAACTTATTTTTTTTAAACTTATTTATTGAAATTTTTAGCACAAAACTTCAATCCCCTTCAAAGTACTCTCCACTTACACTAATACACTTGTCTAGTCTTTTATTTCATTTTTCAAAACATTGTCTAAATTCATCTTTTGAGATGCTTGACAGCGCCTCCGTCGTTTTTTCCTTCACCTCAGCAACATCAGCAAAACGCTTTCCTTTCATGTCTCTTTTCATTCGAGGAAACAAAAAAAAGTCGCACGGGGCAAGGTCGGGTGAGTATGGAGGGTGAGGAACAGGGGTCATACCATTTTTGGTCAAGAATTGTCGTACAGACAGGGCTGTGTGAGCAGGGGCATTGTCATGATGGAAAAACCAGTCACCCGACTGCCACAAATCTGGCAGCTGAGCTCCAAGTCACTCCCGACAGCTCCACAATTTCTTCAATGGTCCGTCGTCGATCTTCCTTGATGATTTCACGAATTTTTTGAACATTTTCATGTGTTCGGGCCGTGGAAGGACGACCAGAACGAGGTTTGTCATCAACTGACATTTCACCATTTTTGAAACGGGAAAACCACTCAAACACTGGAGTTTTCCCCATAGCATCGTCCTTGTACGCCGTTTTTAACATTTCAAGAGTTTCTATTCCGCTTTTCCCGAACAAAAAGCAGAATTTCATCGCCGCACGAAAATCAGCCATTGCAAAAACGACGTTCACACAAAACAGTTGTCACTATAAACTCTGCCGAAACTAGTCCTTACCTTCTGAAGCAACGGTAGTCAGCTTATCGACTCAGGAATGTTAGCTCTATGCGCTCACAGCGGCAAAACGCGGTACTACAAAAGCTCTGCCCACAAAAAAATTAGTTCGGTTTCTTTTGGGTACCCCATCGTAATCACAGTGTCACCATTCTGATGAACTACAGATGATTTTGCAGTAACAGTTCCTATATTTACCACTGAAGAACATATATTTTTGTTTTCTCATTTCACATGTTCATGTTTGTTTATTTTTATTATTGAGCGAATTAAGCAGAAGTTTGCGTCCGTCTGTTTCTATCGTTCCTTCCTCTCATGTTGCTATAGTTATACTTTTAATCTCCGTGATTTTAGTCCGCAAGCGAACTATAACGACCGAGCGACCGCCGCTTGTTGGCGAAGTTAGTGCGAACTTTAGCAGATAGAGGGTGTCGCGTGATCAGCGCAACGAAACCCACGGCTGTTAATTTCGGTTTTCTATTTCCTTGAAATAGCTCCTCAATTATCCGCACGAGGCTGAGTGGAACCCGTTCCAGAACAACTACTTCTCAGAACATCTGGTAGCGCCAGGAATCGAACCCGGACCTCTGGATCTGTAGCCAGGAACTCTGACCACTAAACCGCCATATTTTTATCATAGAGAAATTAAGACTACATTTGTTACGTAAAAGGAGACGTCAACTTGATATACTTTTGTTGTTGTTCAGGTCTGTCGTGGCCTTAAATCCTGCACTTCCCTCTTGAAAAATGCTAGTCTTTATGTTCCTACTAGCAAAGTTGAAGCCTTCTCAAAGTTTAGTGTTTGCTCCTCTGATAAGTGCTGTCCTTCTGCTCAGTGCGCATATGCTGCCAACGTGGTGGGTAAGAAATCTCAACATTTTTGCAATCGGAGCGGTTTCTCTCAATCATATTTTATAATCTTCCACATAAAATTATTAACAATACGTAGGTCGTACCGAAAGTCTTGAGCAACTTTTTTTTTTGCATGCAACCTGGGAACAGCAGACGAAAGAGAGTATGGTGGTAGGTGGAACCAGCTGTTGTGTTAACCTTGAGAGTCTTGTGACGTCAATAGCTTGCATCACGTGACCAGTATCACTCCTAACAAAATGGCCGACAACTATATGTCGTTTCACCAGCGTGCTGTCATCGAATTTCTTGTGAAAGAGGAAATCCCTGCTGCAGATATTCAGCAGAGACTTCAGCGTGGTTATGGAAGTGTGTGCATGGGTGCGAGCAGTGTTGGAAGATGGGTGAAACATTTTAAAGATGGGAACACCAGCATCGAAGATGAGCCTCGGAGCAGTCGTCCTCAACTGAACGCAACAAGGAAAGAGTGGATGAGATCATTGAAGATGACAGGCATGTGACTTGGAATAGGGCACAGTGCAGTACAGGAGATGATTGAAATCTTGGGCTATAGGAAAGTTTGTGCTCGTTGGGTCCCGCAGTTATTGACCGAAGACCACAAAGGTCAGTGAAAAGCCATCACCTCAGAACTGCTGCAGAGATATCGACACAAAGTCGATTTTTTGCTCTGTATTGTGACAGGTGACAAAAGCTGGTTTCACCATTCTGAGTCTGAAACAAAATGGCAGAGTATGGAATGGCACCATTTGCATTCTCTATGAAAAAAGAAGGCAAAGACAGTGCCATCAGCTGTGAAGGTGATGGGCACAGTCTTCTGGGATGCAGAGGGGTTTATTCTGGTCGAATTCCTGGAACCTGGGCAAACTATAAATGTTGCTCGTTATGTCCAGACGCTGCACAAGCTCCGTTGTGCATTGCACGATAAACGTCCGGGACGAAACATCATCATCCTGCATGACAACACTCGCCCCCATGCCGCTCGCCTCACATTGGAAGCAATTGCAAAGATGGGGTGGGAAGTTCTTCCACACCCCTCATATATCCCTGATCTGGCACCCTCCAACTACCATCTTATCGGATTTGTGTAGGATCAGCTGCTGGGACAACGTTTTGAGACAATGGAGGCAATTCAGAAAGTAAGTGCGTCAGTGTCTTCGGATGGCTGGAACGGAATTTCCCAGAAGGGGAATTTTCAAACTCCCAGAACGCTGGGAGAAATGTATACAAAGAAGTGGCGATTATGTTGAAAAATAAAGAAAGGTCTGTAGATAGAGGTGGTGTGTTTGGTTTGTCAATAATAAAGCATGTTACTTTACAAAAAATCGTTGCTCATGTCTTTCAGTACGACCCTCGTATTTAATGCCCGTGTTATTAGTTCTTACTTATTACGTTCTTTGTGTATTTATCTTCACCTTTGTTTTGTTTGTTCACTTCTTCTATAGTAACGCGATTTCTTTCCCGGTGCTTGCCTGTAATTTGTCTCTTATCTGTTGTCAAGAAATTCAGCAGATGAACTTAGTTATTATCATTACTTTCACAGTACGCCTTATAACATTGTCACGTGTTCGTGGTAATCGTGACTAATAATAGTGGGTTCTGCATTTTCTGATAGGGTTTATTGATATTTCTTTACAATTATACTGAATTATGACAGCTCACAGTCAATGACTGACTACGACTCGCTCTATTCCTTACTGGACCACGAGCGTCTTCTCTTTAACTGTGACTAATGACGAACTGCCTTGAATGGCATCTGCCTGACGAATCCCTGTCGAATCTTCGACTGATTTCTACTACTCTAGAATTCACGAATGAATTTTCTTTTACATTTGCCACGCGGCCCGAATAGAAGCCTCATATTGAACAGTTAATTCCTTCCATTGTCATAGGAAGTCTGCTACATATCATTGACTTGTTTGCTGCTATTCGTTTCAGCGGAAACGTGATTACAGAGTCGTTGCTCGGTAATGGACATCCGCTCCGGCTCCAGTGTCCCGGCTTTCAGCCATCATGTCACAGTATTTTATTATATCCTTGTAAATGCATATGTTTTGCTTTCTCACTTCCAAACCTGGAATTATTATTCGTCTATTGTCATTATGTAGACTCAATTTTTGTATTTGTTTTTAATTATTTGTATGTAATTCTATGTACTCATGCTAACCTTTTAATTGGCCTCTGTGCTGTTAAGTTGTACGTAATTAAACATGAATTGAATTGAATTGAACTAGGATGTTAAGCTGCCACACGAATAAATAAGAATTAATTGGGTTATTATTATTATTATTATTATTATTATTATTATTATTATTAACTTCTATGTGTGTATGTATGTGTATTGTCCTTTCTCACCACATAATGGAATAACCATTCGAATTGTGCTTATTTTATTTTCTAACTTATTTTTTTTTCTTGGAATTGTTACTAATTTATTGCTATTGTATAGACAGTCATATTTTGTATTTTGCTCTTTAATTTTCTGTGTATTTCTGTGTACTCGTGCTAACTTTGTAATTGGCCACTGTGCTGTTAAGTTTGCACATAAATAAACACGAATTGAATTGAATTATTATCATTTATTTATTTGTTTACTTTTCTACATTATTGTGTTTTCCCCAGTGCTTGCCTGTAATTTGTCTTTGACTCTATATTGTGTTTGTCTATAATATAAGTACTTTTATATACACTGTGCTCTGTCTGTAATTGGCCTTGCGGCTGTTGACTCGGCACATAAATAATAAAGAACTGAATTGAATTATTATTATTGTATGCTGCTCTATTTGAAACTCAAATTCTCACATTGTGGCTTTGTCTGTGTATGTTTGCTTCTGTACCTTTATTCAGGCTAACTGTGTAATTAATATGGACTATCATTTTTGTATTTTGTTTTTTTTTAAATATTGTTGTAATTTCTCTATTCGTGCTAGCTTTGTAATTGGCCTCTATGCTGTTAAGTTTGCATGTAAATAAACACGAATTGAATTGAATTAAATTATAACTTATATTTTGTTATTACTATTTTATTGTTATCATCATTACTCAGATGTCATAAATTGCCTTGCTTTTTTACTCTGTTTCTTACATTCGTGCTCATTTTTTAATTGGCATTCGGGCTCTTAAGTTAGCATGCAAATAAATAAAAAAACTATCCCTGTAACAAGCTGTGGTGGCCCATAGGGTTGTGAGACGTCGAGGCTCCTACTTTTTCTAAACAATCGACTCACATATGGTGGTGAATTTGTCTGTCATACCCTCCGGCCGACCGCCCGTTACTCTGAGGAAGATTCCTGATACTCATTTCTATTACAGACCGAGTCGACCCCAGGGCAGTAGTGCAACTGGTAGGATTAGGTCAATTGAATAATCCAATGACCAAATCGGGAATCGAACCCACGACTTTCCGGCTTGTAGCATAGTGCTTCAAGCAACTACACTATCTCATGCCCCACATGCAAATTGAATTGAATTATTATTATATTTTATTAATTGAATAAATGTTATAATGAATTAAATACTTTTTAAGGAAATTAAGGGAATGCGGTAGCGTAGTTGGTTGAGTTACTATGTTACAAGCCGGAAGGTCGCGGGTTCGAGTCTAACAGAAAAGAGTACCAGGAATCTTACTGGGGAGCAAAGGGCGGCCGGCGCATAAGGCTGACAACCTTACCGCCATCTATTAACCGATTTCTAGATTAGTGTTTCTCAACCGCCGGGCCCTGGCATCAATTATACCGGGCCCTCGTCTTATAAAAAAAGAATTTACCGGGCCGCAGCCTCACAAAGGTTGAGGACCACCGGTCTAGATGATGTGGGAGCCTCGACATCTCACAACCTTATGGGATTTCAAGGCCTATTACAGAGATAGCTTTACCTTTTTTAAGAAAATGGTGGTACAGACATACCACATGGATATAATTAAGTCATATTCGCTTACCATACAGAAGAAGAATGAGAGGATTCCTTGCGGCCAGGAACACTGAAAGAGAGTTCATTCCATGTATCAGTATACACCAGCTCAGTGTTGTCTCTGTTGTGTAGAGAACTGGTTTCCCCATTGCTCAATATGAGACGCAGAGCAAAATTAAATTGAAATATTTTGCTTGATAATGCAATCCCTTGAAGCATATATGAATTACATGCACAGATAGAAGGCCTCTACGCATCCGGTAGCTCTGCTTTTGGTGCACCCAATGGGTTCTGTCATTTTATTTTTCCTAAACTTCAGCCCTCAAATAAAATCAGTTCGAATTATAGAAAAGTTACCCACGTAGTTAATAAAGAACTGAATACATGTTGCGCTAGTGCATGAACTTGGTTTTGGGGAATCGTCGAATATACGCGTAACTGCAATGGATTTTTCCCTGTGCGGACTCCTGATGGAACACTTTGTGCAAACCCTTTTGGGGTCATCGAAGAACCCGTGGAAAGATTTCAAACAACTGTGACAAAGGTCGGTCCCATCATGTTAAGGTATGTTTGAGAGAAAGCCGTGAGGCCCAGTGCAGCCTGCTTTAGAAAGGATGGAGGCCGCTTGGAACACATGCTGTGATCACTATCTTACCATTTGTTGATCATTTGGTAGCTTGCGCCATTTGACGGTAACGTGTGTTGAAAATTAAACTTCACAGCACGCATATTGCACAATATTCTCGAGTTGTATTTTTTTTTACAACGAATTGCATTATCCATAGCTTGTGTGCAAATTTAGTTCCAGCCTGTATACGGGCTTAGAATGTTCTGAATATGTATCACTCATCCCGGTTTCTGTAATGCAATGAAGTAGGACAAAGACAGTTATTTAAGCGGTTTAGGTTTTTGTAACGGCTGTTAGTTATTTAGTTATTTAGAGAGGGTGGGTTTCCCCATGCACCGCGACCAGTTTGATCTATTTTGCTTCCCTCTATGATATTCTACCAGTCTCTATACCCTACCGATACTGGTGTTTACAATCAGTCCCTACCAAGCCAGCGAGTTCGGCCTCTACTGGCTTGGCGGTATCTATAATGCTTTCCCCATCTATCAGAGGCGTTAGAGACTACTGTTGGTGTAACGGCTGTTACACAGTAGATGTTGGAAACGCTCAAGCAAGTCAGACGTGAACGGTATCGTCTTCAATACCAAGGTTTTACGAATTCAGGTCCACAGTTTCAACTAGCACACCAGGCATACTTACGTCGCTTGGCTGGTTCTTCATGATTGTGTCGACGTCCACTGTTCTAAGACAGCTGACAAGTTCCTCTGAGTTTTCCGTCGGGCACCCCACAGCCTGCGCCAACCGTTGTGCCTGTGACAGTATGCTATCCGTACGAAAGAAAAGTGGCATGAGTGCGGACCCACTCTCCGAGATGGCCCTGTGGAACAGCCCCTTGCTGAGAGGTGACAGTATGTGGAAGTGGACTGACATACCGCCTGCACTTTCTCCGAATATTGTGACTCTATTTGGGTCACCACCGAATGCTGCGATGTTCTTCTGGACCCAGCGCAGTGCTTCAACTTGGTCCTTCAGGGCAAAATTACCCGGCGCTGCATCGTCTCCAGTGCTGAGGAAACCTTTGCGAAAGTAACCCGCATACAGAATATGTTGTGAAAATATTAAGAAGATCAAAATTCTTCGGCGCTGTGTCATATCCCGTGCTCAGGAAAGTTAACATTTTTGTTCTGAATATTGCCAACTGCCAGTCAGATTTGGAGCCCCATATTATGACCAGAGTTTTGGTAATACACTGACATCCCAGTGGTGGGGGTAGAAGTGAAGATGTGAAATGATTTGAAAGAGGAAGCTGAATTGCTACGTCACTGTCTCTTCTTCAACTTGAAATCAATATTGGAAGTGAAGTTTGAGCTCCACAGTGAAAAGCTAACTTTCAATTGCCCGAGTTGCGACACGGCCATATGTGTACATTGGAATCCGGTACCACGAATTCAAGCCTAATATGGTTTTACTTCATTTGTTCTGTGTTCCAAATATGAAATCAATGCGCTGTGCTGGGAGTGACTTTTATGAGAAAATTGAACAGAGCTTAACAATTTACTATCATCAAGAAATCCTGCGGAGGCACAAATGTAGGATGCATCTTTAGAAGCTAAACGAATGTATTCTGTTCATCTAGTTTCAACAAACGGGGCGCTAGCAACAGAGTCATGAAATTGGAAGTGATGTGGTGTGCAGCACAATAAATCACCACATTTGAGGATGAGTTAAAATTCAGTCTGATTAATTTAAGAAGTTATTTGTTACTAAACCCACCTAGAACGCTCAGGCGATAGTTTATGGTTACCAGCACGACGTCCTTATCCAGTAAGTAGTGGGGACCATAATTGTCAGCCTTGTTGTTTCCAATAGTGTTTCCTCCTCCATAGATGAACACCATAACAGGCCGGAGTTCAGCAGTCGACTTAACAATCAAATATTGAATGTATGAGGGATAGGCCTTCTTGGCCCTTGTACCGCGACCTACAGTGGTCTATTGTGCTTACAATCAAATACGTACACTATTACTTACTTACTTACTTACTAATGGAGCTGACTCCTTCTTGAGGGGCCGCCAATTCGGCAGCTACTCAAGAAATTCCCAGCATTTTATGGAACCCAGAGGTTCATTACCGTGTTCACAAGAGTCATCCACTAGGCCCTATCCTGAGCCAGATAAATCCAATCCTCCTATCTCTCTAAGGTCCATTTTAATATTGTCCACTCACCTATGTCTTGGTCTTCCCAGTGGGAAAGCCAATATCCTATATACATTCGTCGTCTCCCCATTCATGCTTCATGCCCTGCCCACCTTATAACAATAAAATATTAGCCAAATTAATTCAAGGCAGTAAAAACTTATTTAGCAATTTTAGTGTTAACTCCGTTTATATCTTTACAATTTCAACTTAGATGGATTTTCTTCAACTGTAATGGATAAGCTGCCCTACTGTGAGTAGTGCAGTTCGCAGTAGCTCAGTTTCTTCAGTGCAGTCCGTGTGTCCTACTATTACGTCCTCGTGGTTCCTCTCAAATGACGCTGTGATTGCGCTCCACCGTGTTCCACATACAGTCAGCCCCTTCATTTCGCCTACTTGATGATACTCGGGTATAGGTCCGCATGGAGCCCAGACGGCCTCACCGCTACTGCTCTAACCGTGCCGCTCTTGTAGCTAGTTGAGTATTCAGTCCGTATTTATTCTGACGCCTAGGATGTGGTACAACTTCTGCCGAATAACGACCCTAGGTACTAAAGCGCTTTGTGCCTACAAGTGTATAAGTTAACTACAGTATGGTTTCTAACTAAAGCACACTCTCCAGTCCATCTCAGTCATCAAACAAACAAAATCTCCACTAAATGCCATCAATCTAGTCAGACCAATGGGAGATCATGAATCACACTGAATAACCCTGACTCCTCACAATTCATATTTAGACTCTGGTATAATCTCAGTCAATAATCAGTAACCAGTCACACACTCAGAGCCCTTTGCGGTCACTATTCAGTCCTGGCGAACGTGATAGAGCTTGTCCCTTCTAGGTAGAATTCTGTCATGCGCACTTCAGAGGAAGAAGCTTCAGGGCATGGGAGTGGAGAAATATTTCTTCTCGCCATATCTCGCATCTGAATCAGATACTTAGAGTTGGTGTTCCCCTAACAGACCAGATGTCAGTGAAGTTTTTTTGCGCAGCCAGGCTAAGATTTTCAGCTACAACAAACTTCACTTTGGAGAACTTTCCGTTTTCATAAATGGCGGCGAATATCTCAGCTATCCTAGTGACTATGAAGGACTCTGATCTAGGGAGTTAGTTAGCTTACCTGTGAGCTGTACACATTCAAATAGAGACAGTCCTCATCGCCGAAGTAAACTGGGGCGAAACCCTGCGGGCACTGATTTCCATCTTTTGTTGCATTCAGTTCTCCTGCCCATGGCCCTGCAGGCACAGGAGCCTAAAAAAAAAGAACATTTCTTCAATATTACGATTTTCTGGTGTATGTAGTTTGGAAAAGTTTTGAGGTTTTCGCAGTCTTAACTATGAAGAGTATAATCTTCGGGTTGTCACGCCATTTAGTACGGAAAAGTCGAACGTTTCGGAAGGACCTATCGCCTCTATCTTCAGGATCAAAGAGTAAGCGAAGTAAGGAACTAGCAGAAGCAGACGATAGGCTCACTTCTTTCAGGGTGTAGCAAGTAAGGCTCTTATGACCGTTTTCTTTATCATCAAGGTCATAAGTTCACAACCCGTGGGACACGCTCATTCCCCCAAGGGAGGCACAATAGCCCATTGACTTAGTAATAGTTTCACCCTAAATGTGCTCAGATTTACTGTCAAATTCTGGAAATAACTGCGTTACAACGCAATATGACGCGATGTACACGGTAAAATACATCCCAGTTGGGATTTGCATTGCGCCATTCCTTCCACGGAGCCGAGAATTTCAAAATATGAGGCAAATACGTGGCATAATTGCTCACATTAATAATTTTTAGAACACAAATGCAAATTTGGATCATATATACTTCAGTTTCTTTCATTATTTTTTTTTGAAGCAGCAATTATTTTTCATTTGTGCAATATTTTTAAAATAAAATATTCTTCATTCATATAAGTTTAAGTTCACAAATAAAAATTTAAATCTGATTACATATTTTTTTTTGAAGTTTTCAAATAAAATTATGATGCCACATTTAATAGGTGGCCTGAAGAGTTGTGTTAACTGAAAGGGGGGCATTGTGTTTAAAAGTTTGCGAGCCAGTGATCAAAGTTGAAGTCATGGTATCAAAAACCAGACATGGTAAGTCAATTCTATTAAGTTGAAATGCCTTTCAAAAGGACTCATAAGAGAATGTGACAGACCAAGTACTGACGCGTGAAACACCTTCAGTGACTTTTGGTTCGTTAGAAATAAGTACAAGAACCATTTATATTTGTCTTTTTAAGAAACGTTGTTACCTTATTGTCAGTAGACTACATTGTCGCTTGAAATCCCCCCTCCCCCAGTAAGGAATTTAGGAGGATAGAATTCGGAGTTTTACTAATTGTTATGCGACAGTTTTGGCAGGAATATTCGAGCGAAAATAAAATTCTTTCTACTTCAAGTTTCGTCGTGCTATTGTTCTAACCGCCGCGCGGTCTAAGGAATGAACAGTCTTCGCCCGTTCTAACACTGGGATCTTAGGTTCTAATTTCATTTAGTCATGAATGTATGAATGGCTGTGCGAGTTTATGCTGTGTATAGGTAGAAGCTTTCCGACGGGCTGATCCCCCCTCCAGGGAGCCCTATCGACTGTGTGTACGGTTAAGAAACTGGCTGTAGAGCCATAGATAGATATTCTTCTAACCGCCTGTTAGAGCGTGGTTGAGAATTTTGACTTTAGTTGGAAGGTTGCAGAATGTTTTGTTTTTTTTTTTCAAATGGTCAGCTTTTTATTGATGGTCGAATGATAGGGTTCGTTTGACGATTCATATTTCTTTTATCTTAGGTCCAAAAATTAAATGGATATGTCCTGGAGACTGCTTACGTCAGTACACTTCGTGTCTTGCAGTCCGCGTTCAAAATTAAAGGGTTGGTCACTTTTTAAAGATATCGGAATCATTCACTGCACTTAGACATTATGCTGAGGACTCTTAAAATATAGGTACATAAAGCACATTCGGAAAATAAAATATCCAGTGGAATATTAATGGGGTTCATGCGCGATTTCTCTGGCTTACAGGCTCTAATCCAATAATGCAACCCAGCCACAGTATGTCTCCAGAAATGTAATTTCTGTCCTTCCAGTCCCTTTAATCTGCCACCGTTTTCGGTCCACCTCGGCCATCTGAAGGCTGAGAGTCAATCAAAATACTGTTGCATCTATTTTGCACCAGTTAGCCTCCACTCTCCACTACTCTCCACTACAGGTCCATTCCAGTTCATTAACTTGCTGCTGGTCTTCGCCAGTACACTCGTTTTTCGTTTCGAGCCCCGTCGGGACACATGGCCTTAATTATATTCTTTTCAAGACTGTTTAGTGTTTGGAAATGCGGGTCTTTCTTCGACGAGAAGAGGGGTTTTCTTTCCGAGTCGCCGCCGCATTTGTTGCACGAGTGTACCCTCCCTCAAGCAGCGTCCAGGTACGGGCATTTTACGTTATGGTTACCATACACGCCTTGTTACTTTGCTACAATAAATAATACTTATGCGAGATATGCACAGGATATCTGTCAATGATGGCTTCTGCAGGAGATCTTTCCTAAACATATTGTGACGTTGTGTTGCCGGGCAACGACTCGGTAAACACATTCCCGCGCAAACAAACGCGTCGCTCAACAATGGGACTTCTATTTCCAGGCAACGGCGCAGTAAACACGCCTCGTCAACAATACAGGCTGTGTTCTGCGTGGCCCATGCAAAGTGGAGATGTACAATGAGATTAATATTGTTTTCATGCCTGATAACACAACATCCATTCTGCAGCCAATGAATCAATGAGTAATTTCGACTTTCAAGTCTTATTATTTAAGAAATATATTTCGTAAGGCTAGAACTACCATAAATAGTGATTGCTCTGTTGGATCTGGGCGAAATAAATTGAAAACCTTCTGGAAAGGATTCACTATTTTAGATGCTATTAAGAACGTTAGTGATTCATGGGATGAGGTAAAAATATCAAAATTAATAGCAGTTTGGAAGAAGTTGATTCCGACCCTCATGGAAGACTTTGAGGTGTTCGAATAGCATCGAATGCTACAGGGAAATCTTTCTTGAGAGGAAGAGTCAAACCTCATTGTTGCCCTATTTGAAGAAATTTCTACAGCCACCCGAGCTTTCAGCAACAATCAACATCGAGACAAGACCCTCCATCAGCAAAAAGATTACGACTCGCTGAAAGCTCAGATGATGGTTGCATTTTTTAGCAATGAAGTATTTTTAATTATTCTCTTTATTGTTAGTGGGGTGGGATTAAGTCCCTCGTACTGCTACCACTTCTGGCCTATTGTACGAGCCCCAGATGATAGGTGAGGGTGATTGTGGAGCAATTGGTGGAATGAAGAATGGGAAGGGAAACCGAAGTACTCGGAGAAAACCTGCCCCAGCGCCACTTTGTCCACCACAAATCCCAGTTGACCAGATCCGGGATCGAAGCCGGGCCGCCGCGGTGGGAAACCAGTGACTAACCGCTTGAGCTATGGCGCGGCCATTTTTAATTGTGGTATTTATATTGTTTTTACACATAATGCTATTGCACACTCAGTAGACTACGGTATAGTATAAACATAACTTCTATATGCACTGGGAAACCAAAACATTCGTGTGACTCGCTTTGTTGAGATATTCGCTTCATTGCGGTGAACTGGAACCGAACCTGCAATATCTCCGAGGTATGCCTGTACGACAGTGATGAACGATGTTTTTTTATGCTGTCAGTGGTGAAATGTTATACATAACTAGTACAGTTAATCGAGTGTTAGTCATTTGGAGCAATTAGTCAATTGTTGGATATTTTCCAGCCGGCGAGGACGTGAACACGGAAGATGAAGAATATCCATCGGTAGGATCCATTACCGGGCAACGAATAGTGGAGACTGTAACAGACTGAGAACACTAGTGTGTGTGTGTTTGTGTGTGTGTGTGTGTGTGTGTGTGTGAAACAATGAACTGTAAAGTGTAGTCACGAGTTGTGTGTTAGAGTGTGCAATATATTGAATTACCAGTTCAGACCCCTTCTGCAGTCGCTCAACATCGTAAAAATATCTTCATGGTAAGTTGTGCTGTAGTGTGATTTAATGTGTTCTTATTCGTCAGCAAAATAGAGCTCTGTAAATTTGTGTAATTGGTATTGTTTAATGCAGTTTTAAACCTACAGTCTCCTATGCTCTTCCTGCTGAGCTTGCAGAAATATGTTTATTCCAGCTATTTTTACTGGAAATCTTTCTTTGGGACTCAGTGACGGGCTCCTGAAGAACCAGTCTCTTGTTTCACTCTTTTCAACGTTCATTTGTTCTGTACATATTATAGTTTGACCCGTGATTTTAATCACAATTCTTTACATTCCAAAGCAAAGGCACGCGCACGCGCACGCACTCATAAATTTACACTCTTATTTCTTCGTGGGTTCTTAACTTCATGTACTAAGGCTCATGTAACCTCATCAGCTGACTCGCCTCTTACCCAACCTCCCCCACACATTGCAGTTGTTTAAACAGTAAACTACTCACCCGGAACCGGAGTTCTCCTACCGGCGGCTCAGCAAAGGGGATGCCCCTGTAGGAACAAAACTCTCTGCCATGAAATGACGTCATCGTGGAACCCCTAGCTGCACCCTGGTCGATGTTAACGAGGCAGTCTGCCTGTACTTGTGACGCCATCCATATCAGCAGCAAAGCAAGGTGCCAGAGGATACGAGGAACTGATTCTGCCATCACTTCCGGTCCTATATCTATGCCTAAATAGAAGCTGGAGGGGTAAAACTGTATTTAATGCTGTGCTGTAAGTATTACGATGCGCAAGATAAATCCTATC